CGCAATATGTCTGGACCTGGTGCACTCAACCTTCACTTCAGGATATGTATTCCATCCTGGTGGAACCGCCTCTTCGGGCATGCAAGTGTAGTCAATCAATGCAACTGCTCGATGGCAGTACAAAGCTTGGCAACTGCTCAATCAATGCATTCCCCGACCCATTTGATGACACCGAGCCCTGCCTGCTACGTCCAGGGCCTCGTCGGGCTGAACCGATTCGGAACATGATGAAAGATGAGCACTGAAGATCCACTGAGGCAGTTTTCCAGCTTGTCCCCACATCTTCAACTGAATGGAGGCTTCCAAATCATGACACCTGGAGAAAGAAGAAGAAAAAAAACGGGATTGCTGCGCACTGCGGTGCAAGCACACCGGAGAAGAGTGAGGCCATTTGGGGGGTTGGGGAGAGCCATGCAATCCGGAAGGAGGCAGATAGAGGGAGACGCAAAAGATCAAAGTACAACCGCGATTGCAAATCCATCAAGGCGTGTTTGAATACATGGCAGCAAACAAACAGAAACATCTTCCGCACCCTTCTAAAACGGCCACGAGAACGTGGTCTTTCCTGAGATGACCTTTGAAATACTGCTGTGCAGCGCAGAATCCTACACATTGGCACACCAATGGCCGTACGTGATGTGACCCTGTCCTTCACTTCAGCACGTCGGGTGAACCCATCCTGCCTCGCCATTTTCTGCCTGGGCACGGAAACGAGCCGCGGCACTGGTCGCAGGTCGCAGGTCCGGAAAATGACTCGGAATGAGCCCTGCTGCTAGTTGGCAACAACCTGACAAGCACAATCTTCTGTGCGCATCCTTGAAAGCTCAATTCAACAAAACTCCATCCACAAGTGCAGTTGAAAACGTCATGTCGATTCACAACAAACCAACAAACAAATTGCGATTGGGACGATCAAGAGCGTCAACCTGAACACGTGGCATTGGGATGAAACAATCTTGTGGCCCAAATGGCATTTGCCCGATTTCCCATACCAATATGTGTATATGTATGTATATATCCGTCATTGGGGTGCTGCATGAACTCCAGCCAGAAGTTTCTATGTGCTGATCTCGAGCCAAACGTGTTCGAGTCCTCGCCCCAGTATCTCTTCAAAGCCTTCCAATCCAAAACTTGGAGGCGAAACATGGCTGCGTTTCAAAGTTGGTCCGGCTGGCAAGATTTTGGTTTGGTCCCCCCATGTCCCCCCAGCACGGAAAGTGAGGGTGTGGGCATCCCCCAATTCCATGTTCCTGGTCCCAAAATCTGTTCGGTTCATAGCCGGCGACTCTGATCCCCGAGCCTTTGGTTTCACTGGGGAGAACCGCCGCTGGCGAGTGGCGTCCCTGGTTTCCCAAAGCAACGCAAGTCGACGCATCCATGGCTCCGCGCCCGCAGCTCCGTGTGGCCGTGGGCGTAATTGCAGGCGTCTGACACGCGGGCGCGACAGGCCTTTCCCCCGCCCTCCCCTCTCCCAGCGAAGAAGGCACCCCCATAAATTGCTTAATAAGCACGGGGAGGAAGCCAACCAGTGCCCATGTTCGAGACACAACACACACACACACACACACGGTTGACAAGACCGCCTTCGCAAGAAAGACTTGGGCCAGGCCTTTTGTGTTTTTGTTGGGTCGCCAAAAACAGAACCGTAGCCCAAAGGGGGGAGGGGGGAGGGGGCAAATGTGAATCGAGACATGGAAAGGGGAACGGCTGGCAACAATCAAGAATCGCAACAGCATGAAAAACCACCAACTGAAGCCAGCAGCAAATCAAGCGGCCAGCGTCTATGAGCAGAAAACGGCATGCCCTATGCAAATCTCAGCTATCCTGCAATTCAAAGCTATCAATTGCCTGACAGGCCGAACAGTTGAATGCCTGCATGTCTGTTCATCTCTTCATGATCGCAGGGCAAACCCGGCAGCTGGACCATTCTGGCAGTTCCCCGCCAAGAAGCTCATGCAAATCTTGGTCCTCGAGCGCACCGGACGCTGATTGCCGGGGTGGCCGGACTGTGCATCGCGCCAGGAGAACATTCTCACAATGACATGAGTATCTATCATTTGTCTGCTTGCGAAGCACCGAAGCAACACGCGCAAATCGCCACTGCCAGCAAGCACTGCCACTGAGGACTGCAAATTCTGGGCAGAAGACTGCAACTCTGCCAAAGCGCGGAGAAGTCTGTTCCACCCAGGTCACCAGTGCATTGGGCCAGCTCTCGATCCAATTCCGCCGACCCGGGCCCCCCGACTTGGCCAAGTTGGGCCGAGGGACCAGCTCCTGGGCAATCGAATCCGAGCCCCGCGACTGCCTCGATGAACTTCCCGGCAGTTCACCCAAGGGATCCTGTGAGATTCCAGAAACAACCCGAAGCTAGCAGCCGACAACACCGAAGGAAGTGAAAACACGCATCCATGCAGGCCTTGATTACCTCATTCAGAAGGAGACAAGCATGCCCAACCATTCGAAGGAGAGACTTCAAGACTGGTGCATCTTTGGGGCTGCTCCGTCCTCGTCATGATGCGCATAGCCGCACTTGTCCTCGGGACTCGCGGCAAAACAAATCAGACATTGCTGTGAGCAGACCACGTAGCTGGGGATTCAATGGTCAAAGAGAGCCGGGCAGCACGCAAAAGACCTTCCCACATCGGAAAAGTAACAGCTCTCCACAGCCCACAACTCAATGGCCACTGGTTGCAGGCACGCGCCTGGTACCGGCAATAGCCTCTCAGGAAGTGCTTGCAAAACCTGGCGCCACAGTTCAGCTCTCAGACTCCAGCCCCGCGTTCGGGCGAGCCAGTGTTACACATGGAAGTTCTTAGATCTGCGAAGAGCAAGGAGCCTATGGCAGGATATGGAAGGATGATGTTAGTGTATCTTGGCAAGACGGGTCCACAGCCGCTGCGACTAGCAACACTGATAACCACATGCATGCAGACACTGCGGGGGTGTCATGGAGCTCATGTTCCATCATCCATGCGTTCATGGGTTGTCCCGATTTGTTTAGGCATGCAGGTTGGTTTGATACAGCTGACCAGGGATGATATCTGACTCGACCTCTGCCGGCCCCAGGGCCATCAAGGCGCGCAATAGTCAAAAACCGCACCAATCCTCTGAAATGGGTATGAGCTTTGATTGGTGTTTTGTCCCTTTGGTGCCCATGATTCGGTGTGTTTTGTGTCCACCCACCATTCTCCAATCCAGTTTCTCCAAATGTGGCAGTTAATGAAAAATGAAAAAGTTTACGGAACCCGTACCTTTGAGACACACCCATCTAATATACGCAACTACAGATCAAGCTCCTCCACTTCACCATTGCCTTTCCTTTGCGAAAAAAAAGAAAGAAGAAAAAAAAACTCCCCCCCCGGAGCCCTCACCCCTCACCCCTGCTCGCCCGGTCCCCCCGGCCGAGTTTTCACCAACTGCTTGGCCATGCGCTTGCTCGGTGCCGGCGGCAACGGCGCACCTGGATCCGCAACGAAACCCGCGGATCCAGCGACTGGGCTTGGGCAGGGGAAAGTTTGGATCAGCTGCCAAGCTTGGCGACCTGGGACCTGGCGGCTTTTCGCGCTAGCTTGAATTTTGCTAGAATGGGTCAAATGTCCATTCATTGATCTGGCCCCATGGCAAGCTGCCTGTCCGTCAGAAGCACCACCATACCGCCAGCAACCTGAGTTCACTGTCTATTCATGTATCAAATTCTTCTTCATTCACCGTCAGGCTGTACAAGTTCCCATCGCGTCCTATCGCTGACCATCGCTGATGATAGTACCTACAGAAATCATCATGTACAATCATCCACCATGCAGCAGCACCATCATCACCACTATCACCACCATCATCACCTCGCCATCATGCACAATTCACTATGCCCTCATCATCCTTCAACTTGATATTCAATCAGGAGACATCGTCAACACGCTCACCTTGCAAGTCGTTCAAACCATCCACACCATCAGGTGGGTCACAGGAATTGTCTGATAGCCCATTTCTGTTCGCGCCTGACTCGCCAAGTGGCAGCGCCTCCGCCTGCACTGATGGGGCGTGAAGTGTGCTACTCTGGAAGCTCATCAAACAATGACCCAGCCAAGGAACTCAAGTTTGGGTGTTGAGTCGTTGAGCTTGCCTTGCAGTCCCAAACGGGCGGAAAATTCGTGGGGGGGGAACAGCCAGCACCAACGCTTCAGCTTGCAGCTTGCTGAAATCCCCTTACGTGCGCCCACAGCAACTTTACACCAGGACAAATGCTTCAGACCCAACTGTTCGGGAGAAACGTGGCCCAAATCAAACAAGCTTGTCAGTGTCGAGCAACAGCTTGAGTTTCCAACAACATGGCAGAGTGTGTTAGAGAGTATGCAGCCGTCATGAGTCATGTGTGCTGCTTCCCTCCAAAGTGGTGGCCATCCCACGCGCCCGTGGCTCCCCGCAACACCCAGGTTGGGGCCGCAAAACCTCTGCCCCGACCCGGTCCCACCTGCATGGGTCCAGGCTCCTGGCATAGATTGGAAGTGCTGCAGTGCCAACTTGCACGTCTTTTGTGCGCCGCATCTTTGACGCCGGGCCAACTCACACAACAGCCTCCCAGAACAATCCAACGAGAAAGCTCTCGGGGGTTCTGCCTTTCATGTTGGAGCCTCCATTGAAGCAAAGTGGGAGTTTCGGTCGCAGCAGCATGCAAAACAAGTATTGGCCATTTGGGGCATTCCACGAACCAAAAGTCAATGGAAGAAACAGGCCTGCAGACAGGCTTCTCTCATCGACGATCGGCGCTGCGTACTTTGGCAGCTGGCGTCGGTCGCTCCTGATCCGGCAACGCGCATGGGAACGGCTCTAAGGACTAGCTGGGGAGCATAGCGCAATGAGAGAAGTGGAAGTGAGTGCAAAGTCGGTTGGTGGGATGAAAAAACGAGGATCGTCGAACATGGCAAAGCCAATCAAACAAATGCCAAGCCCTTTGAGTAAACAATAATCAGCCATCGGAGTTTTCCGCTGCTAAAAAAACCTGAGTTCCAACCAATGCTCCCATTTTGTACCACAGACCGGACATGTCTTTGTGAACCTTAAGCCGGATGTCGTCTTTTTGGGGTTTCAAGGGAAGCCCAAAGGAGCCCAAGTCATCGGTGTGTGGATCCCCCCTCCTGGCAGCGCCGCCAGGAGCCGCAATCATTTTCTCAACCCTTGAGCCAGGCGAGCCGCGAGTTCGCACCGTCGGGGCCGTTAAAACAAGGAGAGATGGCTGTGGCTCAAAAATAGGTACCACAAATGGAACCCTGTTAGATGGAAAGAAGGACTAAAAACCTGGGGTCCCCTGCTAGTTCAATTTTGACCCATACCCAGATGTGAAAACTGTCACATTGGGACTCGGTCTCCTGAAGTGTTTGGTTCCTTGTGCCGAACAATAAGTCCACAACTCCACCATGGGAACGGAAATAGGTTGGAACCCTCCAAGTCGTTGCCGCCTTGCCCTTGCTCCAGGCAAAAAATACTCTCCAAAAAGCACAGCGTGGCAGCACGCTGGCGCCTCTGTCCACGCGTATGCAATTGCATAATATGTGTGCTTTACATGTGTACAGGTGTTTCCATACATGCTAATAGAGCAACTTGACTCGGGTTTCCCTGTGAAAGAAGCGAGGTTTCAGAGAGATTTGTGAACCTATCTCCATATTCTGAACAATGCGCAGGCGCTTAAAGCTGGAAGCACTTGTTCTCAAGCCGTGCTCTCACGCAGTCACATGCCCCTTTTTGAACCCTGGCGTCGTTTTGTGCCCCCTTTTAGGGAAATCCAAAGGAAAGGGGGGGGGGGGTTTTGCCACCCCCGCACATGGTTTGATCCAACGCTTCCATGTTGCTGTGACCTTTACTCTGTACCATACCTGGGCTGTCAAATAAGGCCTGCAAGAAATGCAAGTCTTTAAAGGTTGCAAACATGTAGCAGGAAACCACAAATGATGAAATAAAGCTGTCTCAGGTAGATCCGTGGGGCTACATTTTTATGGTTCCGTATTCATGTATGTGACATACAAATAGATACATGACATACTCACATACACGTAGAATTAAATGTCTGTGCGTGTTTTCATCGGTGTGTTTGTCTGTCTGTGCAGTGCTGTTGTTGTGATCAATGAGTGTGTGTGGGTGTGCGCGCGCGCGACTCTTCGCGATTCTGCTTGTACATGTGCTTGTGTTTGTGTTCGTGTCCCTGTTTGTGTGACCGCTGATCTCAAAATGTACGTACGGCGAGAAAAGTTACATCAGTTGGCCTCAAAGCCCTCAAAAGTCCTCAATGAAAACAGCACGAGGTCAGAGCAAATCTCAATATCCTGCTGCATTTTGCACATTCCAAGCCCACGACCACTGATCCAGCTAGTTTCTATTCCTGTCTGCACTCAGAAGAAGAAGCCCACAATCTTGCCGCCGACGTGCTTGCGACGGGCCTCCTCGTGGTCCATGATGCCATATGTGGTGGTCCTGCAAGTAACTTGCGGTTTGTGCCTGTTTCAGCTTGGTACAAGATGCCTGATTCCTTGAGGGTTGACAAATGCCAGGCAAGCTGAAGTGCACTCAGCTCTCAGGGCAGCACAGCACGAGATGACCGAACTGACGCGACGGGAGGATGTCACTGGCCATCTGCTCAATGCCCGCGACGGAGACCTGTCACAAGCTGGACCAACCCCGCAAACACGTGGTGGCAATCGCCCACTCCCTGGATTGAACATGCACAGAGCTGATCGCACGGCTCCAATACCAATGATGAACTTGAACAAGTCAAGCTTGCAACCAAGCTGCATCGAACCGAGGAGAGATCACGCCGCACTTGTTGATGCGACCAATGAGCTCCACAACAACCTTGCCAGCACGATGGTCATCTATGATCTCCAGGTCACCAATGTAGCCGTGCTTCTGCATCACCTGCAAGAACTTGATGATGACCTTGGAGTTTGGCCTGATCAGGACCTGCCTCTTGCCGCGCTTCTCGGCATTCACGATGTTGTTGAGACAGTCACGGAGCACGCTAATCCGCACCATCTTGACGATGGCGCCCCAAAGCCGTTGGCTTGGACTGAACCGCTGAACGGCCAAGAACACGACAAGACATGATTCCAAACCAGCAAACCCTATCACATCTCTCTCACTTGCAAGAACTCGGTTGGCAAACTTGACAACAGTTTGCACCCGTGATGCATACCTGCACTGCCGCAAAGGCAACTGCCTCCCCTTCTGGCATGCTCTGATTTGCACGCGCCAAGCCCACGACCACTGATCCAGCTAGTTTCCATATCTGTCTGCGCTCAAAAGAAGAAGCCCACAATCTTGCCGCCGACGTGCTTGCGACGGGCCTCCTCATGGTCCATGATGCCATATGTGGTGGTCCTGCAAGTAACTTGCGGTTTGTGCCTGTTTCAGCTTGGTACAAGATGCCTGATTCCTTGAGGGTTGACAAATGCCAGGCAAGCTGAAGTGCACTCAGCTCTCAGGGCAGCACAGCACGAGATGACCGAACTGACGCGACGGGAGGATGTCACTGGCCATCTGCTCAATGCCCGCGACGGAGACCTGTCACAAGCTGGAGCAACCCCGCAAACACTTGGTGGCAATCGCCCACTCCCTGGATTGATCATGCACAGAGCTGATCGCACTGCTCCAATACCAATGATGAACTTGAACAAGTCAAGCTTGCAACCAAGCTGCGTCGAACCGAGGAGAGATCACGCCGCACTTGTTGATGCGACCAATGAGCTCCACAACAACCTTGCCAGCACGATGGTCATCTATGATCTCCAGGTCACCAATGTAGCCGTGCTTCTGCATCACCTGCAAGAACTTGATGATGACCTTGGAGTTTGGCCTGATCAGGACCTGCCTCTTGCCGCGCTTCTCGGCATTCACGATGTTGTTGAGACAGTCACGGAGCACGCTAATCCGCACCATCTTGACGATGGCGCCCCAAAGCGGTTGGCTTGGACTGAACCGCTGAATGCCAAGAACATAACCAGAAATAATTGCAAATCATTGCGCACGCAAGTGGCCGTTGGCAAGAGTTGAAACATCCTGGACCGCAAAGACCAAACTCTACGTCCTATTGGGGGAACTCCTTGCAATGCAGTGCAACCTGAATGAGCATCTCTCGCACTTGCAAGCGAACTCGGTTGGCAAACTTGACAACAGTTTGCACCCGTGATGCATACCTGCACTGCCGCAAAGGCAACTGCCTCCCCTTCTGGCATGCTCTGATTTGCACACGCCAAGCCCACGACCACTAATCCAGCTAGTTTCTATTCCTGTCTGCACTCAGAAGAAGAAGCCCACAATCTTGCCGCCGACGTGCTTGCGACGGGCCTCCTCGTGGTCCATGATGCCATATGTGGTGGTCCTGCAAGTAACTTGCGGTTTGTGCCTGTTTCAGCTTGGTACAAGATGCCTGATTCCTTGAGGGTTGACAAATGCCAGGCAAGCTGAAGTGCACTCAGCTCTCAGGGCAGCACAGCACGAGATGACCAAACTGACGCGACGGGAGGATGTCACTGGCCATCTGCTCAATGCCCGCGACGGAGACCTGTAGACAGTACAGGGAGGGCTTTGAGAGAACCAAGTTCGCCGCAATTCAGCAAGGGTGGGGGCCGCTGCAGATTGTATGTTCTATCTTTTTTGGTAGGGAGAGAAGTCCTGTGGTTTCCTTTTCCGAGAAACACCCGGGAACACCCGGTAACAAGTCCATTGAGAACTTCATCCCCGACTGCACGAGCCGAAGGACAAAACGGAGGCCTTCGCCAGCCCAAAAACCCTCGGAAGTCTATGCTGCCGTTTGGCATCAGCACTCGCGGAAGCCGAACATTGCCCTCCCGAAAAACCTGTTTGTAAAGGAGGGGATTGCCAGTACAGTGCTCGCTTGGTTAGAGAATTCCAGCTTGCCCTCGCAACATGACAAGGTCCAAATACGCAAGAATCCTACCAAAGACTGCAATCTCTTGGAAGGTCGGGGACAGTGCCGGGTGCTGAATGCTGGTAATGCTGGTGCATCACCTACGCTTCAGCACATCCTTCCCCAAAGGCTCGAGGCAACCTTGCATGAAATTCAAACCAGGTTAAAAGAATCCACTCCCTGGATTGATCATGCACAGAGCTGATCGCACTGCTCCAGAACAAATCAAGTGTGCAACCAAGCTGCATCGAACCGAGGAGAGATCACGCCGCACTTGTTGATGCGACCAATGAGCTCCACAACAACCTTGCCAGCACGATGGTCATCTATGATCTCCAGGTCACCAATGTAGCCGTGCTTCTGCATCACCTGCAAGAACTTGATAATGACCTTGGAGTTTGGCCTGATCAGGACCTGCCTCTTGCCGCGCTTCTCGGCATTCACGATGTTGTTGAGACAGTCACGGAGCACGCTAATCCGCACCATCTTGACGATGGCGTCCCAAAGCCGTTGGCTTGGACTGAACCGCTGAATAGCAAGAATCATGACACGAAATGATTGCAAACCAGCAAGTGGAAGGTCCCTGCGCGCAAAAGGATACCTGCTCATCCTACATGTGGAGTTTTCCCGAAAGAGTGATCCTTCCTAGGTTCAGCGGGACGTGCTTGTTCACGGGTTTGACAGGCCGGTGCTGGCGACACAATGGGACGCAACTCTATGGGAAACCTCATGTTAACCTATCGGAAGAAAACTCGGCATCCGGTTGTGTCTGTGTGTGGTGCGTCTGCTTGCTGTGTGCTTATTTGTGTGTGTGTGTGTGTGTGTGTGCACCTGCGCGCGCATGCGCATGCACGTGCCCGGGCCCGGGCGGGCGTGGGCGCATATTGTCTCTGCATGTGCGTGTGTTTGTGTCTGTGTTAGTTTGTGTGTTTTGTTTGCGTGTGCTTGAGCGCGCGCGTGTGTGTGTGTGTCTATATATATATATATATATATATATGTATATATATATATACATATACTTATATGCGTGTGTGCGCGCGCGCTGTGTTGGTTTGTTTGCTTGCTTGCTTGCTTGCTCGCTCTCGCTCCGCACCAATCAAGAATCAAGAAGCTCCGCCATGCATTCACCCCCCTCCCCAACCCAGTTTGCCATTTCTGCTGCTGCTACTCTTGCGCCTGGTCTTCTTCCGCCTCAGCTGGCAAGGTTGGCTCAATGGAGGAAGTTTGGCAGGATCGCACTACAGTGGATAGGACCCTTGCGCGGCCGTCGCGCAAGTTTGCGGCACCGGTCACCTGCAAACGACATACATACTTGTTCATGCCAACAGAACATGTGTTTTACCAGCAGTTGTGCAGAAACTTGCCCTGCGTTGCCTCAACATGTACGCCGCAGGATGAGAGCGTGGGGGCAGCTAGATGGGGATTGGGCCTGTTTGCGAGCTGGCCGCGCATCATGGGTTGCCAGCGCACGCCAGCTTGATCCTTCATACAAAGCTCGGCTAGTCGCTGATCTCAGCGCTCCTGATCTGCGAATTTCTGGGGGGGAAAGAAGGAGGCCGGAACTAGCCCTCAATGATTCAGCGAGTACACAAAATCACACATCTGCTTCCGCTTGCCTGGCCAGATGGCCAAGCAGCAAAGCAGTGTTTCCAAGTGTCATCTATTTCAACAAAGCAGGCGGCAGCGTTGCTGCAAGAAATCAGAGTGGCAAAATGATCCCGATCACGGAATGGAAGCCGCAAAGAGGTATCGGTCCACCAATTCAAAGCCTTTGCTCCACTTCCGACCATCAAGTTGTTCATGGAGAACGTGTGTTCAAATCAAGACGGGACTCCAGGGCTTGAAACATGAAAAGCTCTCTTTTCGCTGTTGCAAGGAGCTTCCTCGAGGACACGGAAAAAAAACGCCAGCCGCCAGCGCCCGCCCATTGCGGCGTTTTTGCCGGGCGGCTTCTCCGGGCTCGGCGCGCCCTCAGCACGTAACAGGCGGAAAAGGAAGCAATCCCAAAACCGAAAGCCAAGCCGCAAGCGCAAAGGCGCACACCAAACTCAGAATAGCTGGGTTTGGAGCTTTCGGGCTGAGTTTAGGTTGGCGTGGCCTGTCCAATTTAAGCGCCTGTGTAAACGTCAGCCGGTGTTTGGCGTTGTGGAGTTGCCGGCATCAGTGGAATTTACGTTAGGTTTCAAGCGTCACTGCCGCGAAGGTACTTTCAAGATGACGGCATGGATAAGCATGAACGTGGATGTCAAACATATCATCTGACGCGTGAATTTAGGACCCCTCTGCAGAAAGGATACCACCCCCGAATCTTTGTCCGCCCAACATTTGGGAAAACTTGTCGGTTTCAGTAGCACCTCTTGTCAACTTGCGGGATTCCAGGCTGGAGTTCCAATCCTGCTAGCGCCAGCCTGAATTAGACAGTCCCACCGTCAAGGGACCTTGCTGGGTCAGCTGTTTCTACCCACAATTGCCGCAAGTCAGGCTCTCGTGTAAGTCCTGGGAGAGCCTTCTGTTTTGATGCCATGATGGCCTGCTGTTGGATTCCCGCAGGCTTTGAACCGAGAACTAAGCTGAAGAGCAAGAAGGCGAACCACGAGAGCGAGGGAGAGGGAGAGAGAGAGAGAGAGGGATAAAAACAAACTAGTGACAAGCAGGCAAACAGACAAAACAAACCAAACAAAACCAAACAAAAGCAAACCAAACCAAGCAACATACATTTTGGCAGCAAGCTTGCTAAGCAAGCGAACAAGAAACACATTTTACTTCACCAAACTTCAATCGGACCAGCCGCCGGCGGTCGGTAGGCGCCGTAGGACGGCGACCGCCGCGCCCGCGCCCGCGGGCTCCGCGGGCTCCGCGCACTCCGCGGACTCCGCGGGCTCCGCGGGCTCCGCCGGCTTCGGCTCCGGGAGCGGCGGCCGCTCGCCTGGGGAACGGGCCAAAGGCATGGCACTGCTGTCCCACACCTTGAAGCAATGAGTCACCTTGAAGCTTGGAGACAGGACTGCCCTCAAAGGGCAAGGGACATGTGGACCAGAAGCATTTAAAGAACTACTCCAACAACTCGAGCAGGCTTCAAGACTTGTGATGGACCGTCTGCCGCTTGCTATCCAGCTGGAAAATGATAGTTTTGCCATGATAGAGCCCGATCCAACCCTCCATCTTGGGCAACATGCCGAGAATGTGCCCTTTCCGAAGCACCAGCTCATGCTGCCTCCTGAAGGTTCTGCTCTTGCCGCGGCTTGGGCAGCCGCGGCTGCGGCCGGGCTTGTGCTGCGCCTTTCCTCAGCCCGACGCTTGCTGGCTGGCTGGCTGGCTGGCGCGCTCCCTCGCTCGCTCGCTCGCTTTCTTGCTTCGCTGGTGCGATCGCAGCAGTTGCTTGCTGGGTGAACAGTCCCTTGCCAAAATCTCCTGCGAAATCAGCCATGAACTATCCTGCAAAGAGGACATGCTGCTTTGAGAGAGCGTTGCATACCAGGGCTAGCCAAGGATGAGATGCCAGGTAACCCTTGATATCTAGACTTGCTTCCGTTGAGCAAGGGTCAAGCTCGGACCACTCTACATCCGCGCAACAGAAACACCGGACGATTTTGAGGTTTCCACGGGATGGCTTGAACGGTGCCTGGGGGGATTGATCCGCGCCAACTTGATGGTCTGGCTAGGTCTTAATACTGTCCCCGCTACTCCATACCATCACCTAGCCCAGCAAAGAAACAAATGTTTTCATTTGTGCTGACACTTTGATCCTGGACAAAAAAAGGATCATCGTGCGCCGCGCCTGCACAACTCTTCAAAGCGGTAAGGGTGGTTTCGGTACCCCTATCTAAAAACAGAAACGCCCCACAGGGTTGCCGCCAACTCCTTCAACACGTCCGCTGAAAAAACGGCCGTGAAGGCCCAGCATCTGGCGGAAGTCCCGCAAGAAGTCCACAAAGGTTGGGAGTTCTTCTAAGGCGCAGTATGCTCGAAAGGTGCGCCGCGCGTCCTGCGCAACTGCGGCATTCACACTCAAACGCAGCGCCGCTGTGGAAAGACTTGAGCAACCTGTCTGTCGAGAACTCAGTTTCCTGGGACCTTCCCGTTGTGAGGAACTGACGGTGTCTCTTTATCCCTCTCTCTCTCTCTCCCTCTCCCTCTCTCTCTCCGTCTCTTTTCCTCTCTCTCTCTCTCTCTTTCCCTCTTTCCCCTCCCTCTTTCCGTTTCCCTATCTCTTTCTCTCTCACTCTCTTTATCGGTCTCTTCTTCCTTCTCTTTCTGTGTCATTTGTCTCTATCTCTCTCTCTCTGTCTTGTCCTTCTCTTGTTTGTCGATTCTCTTGGTTTTCTTCCTTCTTACTCTTCTTCTGCTTCTGCTTCTGCTTCTGCTTCCTGACTCCTTCTCTTCTTCTTTCTTTCTGTCTGTCTGTCTGTCTGTCTGTCTGTCTGTCTTTCTTTCTTTCTTTCTTTCTTTCTTTCTTTCTTTCTTTCTTTCTTTCTTTCTTTCTTTCTTTCTTTCTTTCTTTCTTTCTTTCTTTCTTTCTTTCTTTCCTTCTCTCTCTCTCTATCTCTCTTTCTCTCTTTCTTTCTTTCTTTATTGCTTTATTTCTTTCTTTCTTTCTTTCTTTCTTTCTCTCTTTCTTTCTTTCTTTCTTTCTTTCTTTCTTTCTGGCTTTCTTTATTTCTTTCTTTCTTTCTTTCTTTCTTTCTTTCTTTCTTTCTTTCTTTCTTTCTTTCTTTCTTTCTTTCTTTCTTTCTTTCTTTCTTTCTCTCTCTCTCTTTTTCTGTCTTTCTTTCTGTCTTTCTTGATTTATTTATTTCTTTCGTTATTTCTTTCTTTCTTTCTTTCTCTCTCTCTCTCTTTTTCTGTCTTTCTTTCTGTCTTTCTTGATTTATTTATTTATTTCGTTATTTATTTCTTTCTTTCTTTCTTTCTTTCTTTCTGTCTGTCTGTCTGTCTGTCTGTCTGTCTTTCTTTCTTTCTTTCTTTCTTTCTTTCTTTCTTTCTTTCTTTCTTTCTTTCTTTCTTTCTTTCTTTCTTTCTTTCTTTCTTTCTTTCTTTCCTTATCTCTCTCTATCTCTCTTTCTCTCTTTCTTTCTTTCTTTATTGCTTTATTTCTTTCTTTCTTTCTTTCTTTCTTTCTTTCTCTCTTTCTTTCTTTCTTTCTTTCTTTCTTTCTGGCTTTCTTTATTTTTCTTTCTTTCTTTCTTTCTTTCTTTCTTTCTTTCTTTCTTTCTTTCTTTCTTTCTTTCTTTCTTTCTTTCTTTCTTTCTTTCTCTCTCTCTCTCTCTCTCTCTCCCTCTTCCTTTATTTCTTTCTTTCTATCCCCCTCTCTCCCTCTTCCTTCCTTCCTTCCTTCCTTCCTTCCTTGCTTCCTTCCTTCCTTTCTTCCTTCCTTTCTTTGTTTCTCTCTCTCTCTCTCTGTCTCTCTCTCTCTCTCTCTGTTTCTCTCCAGCCCACGAAAGTGAAAACCGCTGGAAAAAAGAGCTTTCCGAGGGTCGACAAAACGAAAGTGAGGGTAGTCCGCGGAGGGTTGCGTGAGGAAGGTCAAAACCTTGAAAGTGCGCAGAGGGCTCGCTTTTTGAAGGTTGTGAAACAGTATGTGCCGCCGAGCCAATGTGGCCGTCTCCGAGACCGCTCCAAACCCGCTCCGCGCCCGCCTCCGTGGTCGCGTGGTTTGCCCACATGCAAAAGAACTCAATTCACACACACACCGTCACATGCTCGTAGCTTTTTCATGTGGAGGAAATCTAGTCTTAAAGATCATGCGCAGGTGCATGCATTCTTAGAGAGAGAGAGAGAGAGAGAGTTAGCTCAACTAGTTCCAGTACAACGAAGTTCCTCCTAACCTTCGTCTGAGAATGCCGACAATAGTTGACAATAATATTGATAACAATGTTAATAGGAAAAGAACTAAACTCACGCAGAGGAAAAGAACGATGTATTGATAATACTGATAACAATAATGATAACATTGATACCACACTCACAAAGGAAAAGAACTAAAAGTCCGTCTGAGCAGCAATATTCAGCAGAGGTTCCACCTGAGCATTCATTCTTTCCTGGCGCCCAAGGCCACACAGAACAGAGTATTGAATTCTAAGCCACTTTCAAGCCACACCCCAGCGTTTGCTTCCAAGTCCCCGTGTCAGTCCTGCAGACCTTTGGCAGACACAGGCGCAGTCTTCCTGAGGTGTGCAGAGAAAACAGCACCTTCTGCGTGCTTTACTGCGGAAACTCCCTCCGGCACACTTGAGGTAAGGACTTGACCCAAGCAAGAGGCAGCCTGGGCTGCGGTTTGCTTGTGAGCAGACGAAAGCCCAGGACAGGTGAACAAACTGGTAAATCGGACTCAAAGTGTGTCATAAATGCGTCAACAACTCCGCCCACCCAAGTTCCTCGAAATTCCATGGATTTCCCTTGCAGCATGAGTGTGGTTTGCCTTGTGTAAGCGCATAGTAGATTTCCCCACAGAACGCAATTCGAGAAGCTCGATATCAATCCGTGTTTGCTAATACACACCGCCACGCCCTTTCTTTTGGTGCCATAGCCCAACCGCTTCGACTGCTTTGAGAAGGGTAGCTGGTCTCAAACAAAAATAGCTCAACAAAACAAAGCCAGTGTTGCTTTTTGTTATCCGATTCCGAAGCTGCAGTCGAAGTCATGGTAATCAGGGTCCAAAAATTAAATCAGGCAGTGACGACAAATGACACGTTAAAGTCTTGCTTACCTATTTCCATCATTTTGAAAGCGGCTGCTCGGCCCTGGTGCTTGAAAGTCAAAAGCACTTAAACTTCCACTGCCGCTTCAAATATTATTGATGCCTAAATCCCCTGACGAACAAATGCGGCTTTTGCTCACACGTGCGCTAATTACATTTAAGCAGCAACCTCTAGAAAACACTACAACCCTGAAACCCAAAGCTCCCTCATGTCCGATTCCGGTTCCACTGCCTCCCCGAATGCACTGTCCGGCTGAGCGTCACTCCCAGCAGCTCCTGCGAGGCATCACACCACCGCACGTGGCCCAGCCACGCCCCCTGGGATCCGGCGAGCTGGGAGGCGACACCGAAGCGATCCAAGCCAGTTGCAATAGAACCCGACCGTTGGCTTTGCAACATTGGCAGGAAAAAATGGCAGACCCATGAAACAGGCTAAATGATTCGTTGCTCCTGAGCAACGAGTCCAATGAATCCTGACCTACACAAGGTCGTCCAGCATCTCTACCTTTGGCTCCCCAAAGCAGTGGACGTCCTAGATCTGTCAAATCTTTGTCAGTGCTTTGTTTGGAAATTGAAACCATGCAGGAGGCAGTAAGTGGTTTCTGGGCCCGAACCAACATACTGGGGGTTGCTGGGAACCTCCAAGGGTCGTGGATTTCCCTGGTGGTTTTTGTTATTGGTGGGTCTGCTGGGTCCCGCGTTCGTGATGGAATGTAGTAATGGACCAGAAATATTGTGACGTTGCAGTTGCGCTGCAGTTGCGCTGCTTTGCTTGGTCCAATTTAAAACGCTCTTGAGGCTCTTGAGAACAACAACACCCAAAACGCAGACCTGAACGACAAGCAAGCAAACGAGTCACCCTTAAATGCCAGACGGGCTTCAAACAAAAAGAACATAGCACCCAAAACGCAACCAGAAGCCGCACACAGGGACACCCGGCGGACATACCAGACCCATGTCTGTCAAAACTGCGGTTGAAACTTGGCAGAAAAGGCTGCAAATAGTACGATTTTGCAACGTCAACGACGTCAAGATCTGACGAACGAGCTCAAGATGACCTTCTGTCAGAAAGCGCAGGCTTAGCTCCCACCAAAAAAACTGGCCTTGATATGCACAAAAAAAAGAGACCTCACCAGCTGTTGGAAAGATCCCTGCAACTCTTCAGATTCCCTGTGCCACAAAACAATAGCAACAACCGAGTGGACGGAAGCAGCTGTACAAGTGTCAGAGCGCAAGAAAGCCGCTACAACGCTGGCATGAAACACTTCAGCATGATCAACTGACTCTGGTCCCAATCACCGACCCCGACGCGGGCACAAATTCTGTCAATCTAACCTGACAAGGTGCGCTCGGATCCAGGAAGGATTGCAGAAAGCCCGGGATGTCGCAAATGGCTTCGAACCTCGGCACCCCCCCAAACCAAGGCCCTGTGTACACAAAGCCTTTCCAACAAACGCCCTCAAAGGAAGAAATCTGCCGCCACCAACAAACCAAGAACCACAAAGCAACGCTGGCAGAACCCAAAACCGCAGACAAACCGCCACCAATCACCAACAAAAGTCGGCGCCAGACTCCTTTGGCCTCTCTTCGGCCCAAGGCGCTTCACTTCCTCGGCCACTCGCAGATTTTGGGCGGAGCGGCCCAGGCCAACGAGCCCCGAGAGGCTCAAAGGCGCCGACTTTGGCACAGGCGCTGCCTCACGGTCAAAGGCGCCCGACTCAAAAAGGGGAAGATGTCCATGACTCTATCCACCGAAGACCTGAAGAAGTGACTCAAAAGAAACGCAAATGGCTCAGGACTTAGGATGGCTTGTGTTCGAGATGCAAACATCTGATAGAGCATGTTGTGATGCTGTCTGATGGATTATGCTTCATGAATCTCGTGCTGATTCATAAATCACTTGTACAGGCAATCAAACAAGGCTGTTACAGCAGCAGCAGCAGCAGCAGCAGCAGCAGCAGCAGCAGCAGCAGCAGCAGCAGCAGCAGCAGTCGCAGCAGCCATGCATGTTTTTGCTACGGCAAATCAGCCTACAACACTCTCCTCTCTGTCTCCGGAGTCACATCGACCTTCCCCTCCTGACGGCAGAGCAGTGGATAGCTCAAAAGCGGGTGAGGGGCGACTAAAGGAAACAGAGTCAGGAAACTGGCTGAGCTGAGTCAGAAGCACTTTGGCTCAAGTCAGGAAGCAAGAGAAAAAGTGTCAACTAAGAACACAGGGTCATGTTGTTAAGGGCACAAGGTTTGGTGAGTCAAAAACCGTGAAACAGACGGTTGGAGGAACGAGTACCTGAGGAAAGAAATGGAGTTAAAGGAACGTGAGCCAGGCAATACCGTGGCCACCCTGAACCCATCCTAAACCAACCCGAAAGAAACCAGAAATAAACCGTACACCAAACTTAAACTAACCCTCATCCCAACTCAATTCCTTAAACCCTCCACTAAGCCAGGCAACAACTAATCCTAAACCAACCCTGAACCTAAGAAAACAAGCCACGACCCATCCTAACCAAACCTAAACTGGGCACAAACCAAGCCGAAACCGAGCTAAACCAGGGCTGAGCCAAAACTAAACAAACCCGAAGCAAATTCTAAAACCAACACAAACCAGCTCAAGCCAACCTTGAACTCAATTCAAATTGAACCTACACCCCAACTCGAAACAAATCCTAACCCTCAAAACGCCGTAAACTATTCCAGAAACCAACCTCAAACCAAGCATAAACCAACACAAAGAACAGACCTGAAACAAACCCAAACCTACCCAGGAAAACAAAACATAAACCATCCCCGATAGAAACCACAAACCAAATCCAAACAAAACTGTCAGTTCACCCTAAACCAAGGCTAAACCTACTCCAAACCAAACCCAAACCAACCCGAAACCAAACCTAAACGAATCCCTAACCCAACCCTAAGGTATCCCGCCCAAAGCAAAAACGGCAACAAACCCTATCGACCTGCTTCCTGACTCGTGAATTATGCTATTGTCTAACTCCCTGTCACTTGCTTTGTTGGGCATTCCTCTAGTTGTTTCCTGACATGCCTCTGGCCGCAAGCCCCAAGCCCCTTTCAGGCACGAAACAACAGGAAGCGCGTCCCAAGAAACCCCAACATGAAGAGATCCCACTGGTGATACCCTTTCCACGTTGCCATGGACCCTGACTTTTCAGAGTCCTGGAAGAAAACTACGCTCCTTTAAAAGGGACCATTCCTCTGGTGGGTTCAATGGCCTTGGTGCACAGGAGATTCTCGTGGGGAATTCGCCCTAGTCCCGCCCGCGCGCCAGCGCTTGGAGACGCTCCACCGCGCTCTGCAGCCACTCGGGGGAAGAGAAGAGCTGCAGCAGCAGCCGGGGGCCCTACTCGTCCGCTTCCGGAACTGTTTGCCCCCCCCCCCCCCTTGCGGAAAAGATTCGTGGTGTTTGGACAGTGTCAAAGATGTCGTGCTTGGACATGGGTTTCCTCTAAGCCAAATGGCCCATAAAAAGGCAGGCAACGGATTCTTTGGCATCCCACAAACTTTGAAGGGGGTTCACCCATTGGACACAAATTCGAATGTTAAGGAGGCAATATTGCCATTGCACATGAACAAATGGGACAAGATCGAAGCGGAGAAGGATACATACTGTGTTTGTGTGCGCATATGTTCAAGTGTGTCCAATTCTCGCTACACGTGTTTGTGCATCAGGGCCCATGTACACATGAATGTGCCTCTGCACATTTGTGTGTAAAGGCGTAGGTGTGCCTGCTGGAGTGGATGCAGGCGCAGGTGCAAGTGAAGGATGCATGGTGACATGGGTGCATGACAGGAATCAACTGCAATCCCATCAGATTCGCGCAGAAATCGACTGGCTCAACTTCTGAAAGAGGCGTTGCACAAAATCACATGAGACTGTCTCAAACAAATCAGGACTTCTCGAAACGGGTGGTTTCTGGGTCGCTTCCCTGCAAAAAGCACATTGCAACACACATAAGGCTGACTTCTGATGGATATGCCAAGAACCTCGGAGCTCCCGCCTCAGGCCGGGCCCGCACAAGGCACTGGTTGCTCTTGGTCTGTGCCACTGCTTCCAACAGGTCGGCCTTGCTCTGCCAGTCCTGAACAGTCTTGCAACTTGAGGTGGTGGCAATGCACCAAAATTGGGACCCTGGCGGGTAGCTGGCGGCTTTCCATTCCACATGTTCCACATGTTCTACCCACCTAAACCCGAGGCCTTTCATTCATTCAGCCATGACTCATTCCTATTTGAATTTCCGATGGCAAACATCGTAACAGGTGGAGTGTCAATTAATCGAGCGCTTGTGGCTGCAAAAATGAACGCCCTTCGGCTGCCGCCACACAGCTCGCACGGTCCGGGTACTACTTGCTGGTTCTCAGCAGGGAATGAAGGAATGACCCCTACAAGCCATCCCCCTAAGTGGATTCCTAAGCTCATTCTCAAAACCCTTGTGGATTCCTTACCGAGAACCAGCAAGACCCCCCTCCCTGCGCCTCCTGGCCGTCCGTGCGAACCAACACCACCCGGGCGGTGAAGACGAAGCTCGGCAGGGCGCGCAGCGCTTGCCGCACCTCCCTTGACCTGGCTGGGCCAATGACTGGGCCAAAGACTGGGCCACGTGGTTCTTGTGCCGGTCAAATGCTGTCCCGCAGCTTTCTACGTCTCAGACTCTCAAACCATCTTAAACAGTACGCCAGCTCAACTCACACTCGGCGGCGAAAGTCAGTGCACGACAGCTTACACAAGCAAACCTGCATGAGACTGTACACACTGAAGCAAGGATAACTCTCGAGTTGAAAAGCCGAGAGGCACGGGAGTAAGAAACATCACGACACAAAGCAGATCCGAACTGCACTCCAGGCCGTTCCAACACACCGCACATCCAGTATTCTCGTATCCACACGCAAGTTCCTGCGAGCAATGGCTTGCAGAACTTGCTCCTGATTCTGAAGGCACGGCCTCGCAATGTCGGTGCTGCAGTCTTCTTCCAGAAACCTGCACGTCATGCAGCGGATGCGGTCCTCAGCTCTCGGCCGATGTCGCAGTCCCTTTCAGGTTAAAACCGTCCAAAAGAATGCCCTAGCTTTTGGCCACATCCCCACAAAGTCGTTGCATGCTTGGTACTTGCAGTGCCTTGCTCAAATACCCACCCTTTCCTTGAGCTGACAACACCAAGCGGGAAAGGGCTGCCGCCTTTCAGGGACGGAAATGCTCCCACGGCCCCGGCATTCGAGCAGATTTCTTGACAGGGCCTCGATTCCAGCAATTGAGCTTGTCCGGCTGAGCCAAAGCATGCAAAACACGAGTCACGAGTCCCCGAAGCCAGGTACGACTTCCGCATTGCACCATTGAAGTACAGGAATCCACGCAACATGCCAAATTCATTGCTTGGAAAACTATAGAAACACATCGCAGCTGTTGTTTGGCCGCTCCCTCCAACGTCCCAACTTCCGCCCGGCTCGCCCTGCAGCCAAACTTCGTGGCCCTCGCGGCCGAGGTTGTCGCTCAGCCCACGACGCCAGTCCAGGCTGGCGATCATGGCCGCCAGCAGCTGCCGCGGATGGTCTCCCGTTGCGACCTGAGCCGCGCAGCCGCTACCCGGAGGCAAGGCAGCCCGGCACCCCTGGTATTCTTCGTCCTAGCCCGCACTCTTAATAATGAAAGCACATGGTGCCAGATTTGCTTGAAGCCAGCATTGTGGCCATCGAAACATGCGAATGTCCAAAAGCCGAATGATTTCTCCACATTCAACGTTCTACCTGCACACTTTTCTGAAATCCCAAGATACGTGACTGGCTGTCGCCCAGGCACATCTTTCTGGCTCTTGGCGAGGACCTGACAGCACAGGAACTCGACAAAAAGCCCAGCATCCCGCACCTGTCTTAGCCTTCCTGTTTTGTATAGTGTATATCTATGCATGCGTCAATCTAGGCAGACCTGCAGCTGACAGCATACACACTGACATTGCTGATGTTTCTAAGGTCAACTACTGCCGCCGCCAGCAGCAACCACCATCAACGAACTAGAGGCCCCTCCAAATGGCCAAAGGGGTCCTTAGTTTTGACGACACCTTTACACGTGATAAGATCCGCTGTCAGTCCCATTTGGTGTGTTCAGGGAAGCACCCACCTTCAAAAGAAAGCGCCCCCAGCGACTCGTAAAGGCACCGTGAAGGCACCTTCTTGTCGATTTCCGCTGCGACTTTGCGCAGCTGCTGCAGCCGATCGTCCGCTTTGTCCGCGATTCGATCCTCCACATCCAGCCTTAGCTGGAGTCATACATTAAATCAAAGTGGAAGCAAACCGGAATGGCCAAATGCTGGGTCCCAGCACTCAGAAAACACATTGTGAAGGTGTGAATTGCCTTGGCTCTGGCAAAATAAGAGAATGAGGCCATTACACCTCCCGTCTATTCCCATATCTCTTTCCTTCTATCTTCTCCCATCTCCATTCTTAGGTAGGAGATGGTAACGAGAAGATAGAGAGATAAAGAGATGGATGGTGAGAGCTTCTCCAATTGAGGACTAACAAAGATATAGGGTTCTGCCATCAGTCTCAGTTGCCAAGGTGCATGATGCGGAAGTCCACCTCCGCGGTGACCACAGCTCCCTTGGCGTCGCGCTCCGGCGCAGACCTCATCTGGAGAAATGCAAGAGGCAGGCAATGCTGGAAAGCACGGAACACTGCAATGCCAAAAGCAAAAGCAGACTCACTCTTCCTTCCAATGGTCAAATCGGTTCATTCTACTTAGACCATTTGGCTTAGGCTTAGGCAAGTAGCTCCAAAACAACAGGTCTTCCGTCGAGAAGGGGGTGTGGAGGAGGTTGGGGAATTGGCGGAATTGGAGGTGGAGTTTGGTTGGGGATTCGGGGGGTTTGAAGGTTGCCGGGCTATGAGGTTTGGAAATTGGGTGTTTGGCGAGCTTGGGGGGTTGGGGAAATCCCCAGAGCAGGAAACAGCAAAGCTGAGTTGCGGAAATCAAGTTGGCGGGGCTCCCCACCTCCAACCCCAAACTCCGAACCCCCTGACTCCTCGAACCAGCGCCCTCGCTCTTGGGCCAAACCACAGCACCGCGAAGCGGATGTCCCCCTCCAACAGCGCCTGCAGCTTGGCGTCCGCCTCTCCCGCCCGCATGCTGCCAGTGAATTCCGCCTGCACGAGAAATTGGCCTTCTTTCAAAGTGGCCGTTTGCAAGTGTGTTTGTGTGTGTGTGGTGTGTGTTGTGTGTGGTGTGTTGTGTGTTGTGTGTGGTGTGTGGTGTGGTGGTGTGTGGTGTGTGGTGTGTGGTGTGTGGTGTGTGGTGTGTGGTGTGTGGTGTGTGGTGTGTGGTGTGTGGTGTGTGGTGTGTGGTGTGTGGTGTGTGGTGTGTGGTGTGTGGTGTGTGGTGCGTGGTGTGTGGTGTGTGGTGTGTGGTGCGTGGTGCGTGGTGTGTGGTGTGGGTATGTGTTTTTTTGACGTGGCCGTGCCGGGAGGTTGGTATAAGGGGTATGAATCGCAGGTATGGTTCGGGGTATGGCTCGGGGGTATGATTCGGGGTATGGCTCGCGCGCCTCTGAACTCTTGCTTTGTGGCTTTGGACACTGCAAAGCTCCCGTGCGCTGGCAACTGGATAGCCGTGAGAATTTGGACCGCTTAGTTGCTACAAGCCAGCCTGGGGCGCTTGTGAGTGGCCTGAACTAGACAGCTGCCACTCTGAGTGAGCGCAAGAGGCTCTTGGCTGCAAATGGCAGCAGAAGGGTATGAACCGGGGTATGAATCGGGTATGAATCGGGGTATGAATCGGGGGACAGATTTTTTCGACCGGAAAGACACCAAGAGTACCCCAGGAGCACAGAGACAGCTTGCGTTTCACTGCGACAGTGGCCCAGGACAGACAGCTGTTTCCACCGCTCCGAGTTTCAAGCTCAGCAGCGGCACCCCCCGCCACAGCGCCTTGCAAGTCCCAGCGTCTTTACGTCAAGCTGCACACCCCCGCCACAGCACCACGGATGCTACAGACAACTCCAGTACCAGGACATCCGCAGGATTGCTCTATAACTCCATCATGGATCACATGCAAATGCCACAGTTCTTGCAAGTTCTTTTTTTGTGTTTTTTAAGGGGTATGACTCGGGGTATGGCTCGGGGGTATGGTTCGGGGTATGATTCGGGGGTATGGCTCGCCCAAGCCCCACCTCCCACGAAGACTAAAGAACTGACACGGTAAAAAAACACAGACCCGTGTGGTGCGTGGTGCGTGGTGCGAGGTGCGTGGCGCGTGGTGCGTGGTGCGTGGTGTGTGTTGTGTGGTGTGTGGTGTGTGGTGTGTGGTGTGTGGTGCGCGTTGTGCGGTGTGCGGTGTGCGGTGTGCGGTGTGCGGGGTGCGGTGTGCGGTCTGCGGTGTGCGGTGTGCGGCGTGCGGCGCGCAGCCTGCGGCAAGCGGCGTGCGGCGTGCGGCGTGCGGTGTGCGGTGTGCGGTGTGCGGTGTGCGGTGTGCGGTGTGCGGTGTGCGTTGTGCGTTGTGTGTTGTGTGTTGTGTGTTGCGTGTTGTGTGTTGTGTGTGGTGTGTTGTGTGTTGCGTGTTGTGTGTTGTGTGTTTCGTGTTGTGTTGCGTGTTGTGTGTTGTGTTGTGTGTTGTGTGTTGTGTGTTGCGTGTTGTGTGTTGTGTGTGGTATGTGTGGTGTGTGTTGTGTATGTGGTGTGTGTGTGTGGTGTGTGTGGTGTGTGTGGTGTGTGTGGTGTGTGTGGTGTGTGTGGTGTGTGTGGTGTGTGTGGTGTGTGTGGTGTGTGTGGTGTGTGTGGTGTGTGTGGTGTGTGTGGTGTGTGTGGCGCGTGTGCTGTGTGGAGTGTGTGTGGTGTGTGTGTGTGGTGTGTGTGTGGTGTGTGTGGTGTGTGCGGTCTGTGTGGTGTGTGAGTGGTGCGCGTGGTGTGTGTGGTGTGTGTGGTGTGTGTGTGGTGTGTGTGTGTGTGGTGTGTGTGTGTGGTGTGTGTGTGGTGTGTGTGGTGTGTGTGTGTGTGGTGTGTGTGTGGTGTGTGGTGTGTGTGGTGCGTGTGGTGTGTGTGGTGTGTGTGTGGTGTGTGTGTGGTGTGTGTGGTGCGTGCGGTGTGTGTGTGGTGTGTGTGGTGTGTGTGATGCGTGTGGTGCGTGTGGTGTGTGTGTGTGGTGTGTGTGTGGTGTGTGTGGTGTGTGTGGTGTGTGTGGTGTGTGGTGTGTGTGGTGTGTGCGGTGTGTGTGGTGTGTGTGTGTGGTGTGTGTGGTGTGTGTGGTGTGTGTAGTGTGTGTGGTGTGTGCGGTGTGTGTGGTGTGTGAGTGGTGCGTGTGGTGCGTGTGTGGTGTGTGTGTGTGGTGTGTGTGGTGTGTGTGTGTGGTGTGTGTGGTGTGTGTGTGTGTGGTGTGTGTGGTGTGTGTGTGTGTGCGGTGTGTGTGTGTGTGGTGTGTGTGGTGTGTGTGTGGTGTGTGTGGTGTGTGTGTGTCTGTGTGTGTGGTGTGTGTGGTGTGTGTGGTGTGTGTGTGTGGGTGTGTGGGTGTGGGTGTGTGTGTGTGTGGGTGTGTGTGGTGCGTGTGTGGTGTGTGTGTGGTGTGTGTGTGTGGTGTACGTGTGGGTGTGGGTGTGGGTGGTGTGTGGGTGTGTGGTGTGTGTGTGTGTGGTGTGTGTGTGTGGTGTGTGCGCGTGTGTCTGTCTGTCTGTCTGTCTGTCTGTCTGTCCGTCTGTCTGTCTGTCTGTCTGTGTGTGTGTGTGTGTGTCTGTCTGTGTGTGTCTGTCTCTGTGTGTGTGTGTCTGTCTGTGTGTGTGTGTCTGTCTGTCGGTGTGTGTGTGTGTGTCTGTGTCTGTCTGTCTGTCTGTCTGTCTGTCTGTGTGTCTGTGTGTCTGTGTGTCTGTGTGTCTGTGTGTCTGTGTGTGTCTGCGCGTGTCTGTGTGTGTGTGTGTGCGTGTGCGTGTGCGTGTGCGTGTGCGTGTGCGTGCGTGTGTGTGTGTGTGGGTGCGTGTGTGTGTGTGTGGGTGTGTATGCGTGTGTGTGTGTGTGGGTGTGCGTGCGTGCGTGTGCGTGTGTGTGCGTGTGCGTGTGTGCGTGTGCGTCTGTGTGTGCGTGTCTGTGTGTGTGTGTGTGTGCGTGTGCGTGTGCGTGTGCGTGTGCGTGCGTGCGTGCGTGCGTGCGTGCGTGCGTGCGTGCGTGCGTGGGTGGGTGGGTGGGTGGGTGCGTGGGTGCGTGGGTGGGTGTGTGTGTGTGCGTGGGTGTGTGTGTGGGTGGGTGCGTGCGTGCCTGCGTGCGTGCGTGGGTGGGTGGGTGGGTGCGTGGGTGGGTGGGTGTGTGTGTGTGTGTGCGTGGGTGTGTGTGTGTGTGGGTGGGTGCGTTCGTGCGTGCGTGCGTGCGTGTGTGCGTACGTGCGCGTGCGTGTGTGTGTGTGGGTGCGTGTGTGTGTGTGTGTGTGCGTGTGTGTGTGGGTGCGTGCGCGTGTGGGTGCGTGTGTGTGCGTGCGTGCGCGCGTGCGTGCGTGCGGGCGGGCGGGCGGGCGCGCGCGCGCGTGCGTGCGTGCGTGCGTGGTGCGGGTGTGGGTGTGGGTGTGGGTGTGGGTGTGGGTGTGGGTGTGGGTGTGGGTGTGGGTGTGGGTGTGGGTGTGGGTGTGGGTGTGGGTGTTGGTGTGTGTGTTTGTGTGTGCGTGTGTGTGTGTGCGTGGGTATGTGCGTGTGGGTATGTGCGTGCGGCGTGCGGGTATGTGCGTGCTCGCGCGCGCGGGTAGCAACTGTGAACACTTCAAAAATTTGTCTTGCAAGCATCACAGCATGGCTTTCCTTCTTCAACAGTTCGCACCCAATGTTGACACACTCTTCCTCAGACGTCAAAGCAGTCTAAGGCATTTGCTTGTTTTTTGGTTCCGCCTTCAGGCTGGCATCAACCAGCTCAAGCTTTGAGACTGCCCGTGGACTTGGCCATTTAAGAGAGTGGGTCCGTGTGGTTGTTTTTTGAAATGCCCAGCGGTCCATAGAGCATACCCACATCAAAACATGAGACACCTGTTCCTTTGGGAAGACTGGGTTCCATGTTCTGAGGTAGGGCCGTTTGACGCACGACCAACTAAATCATTTCAACTCAGGAATACAAAAAAACATGATCAAAAAGAGCGCACGCGCAGGCGCACGCGGACACACACGCGCACGCACACGCGCACACACACACACAAGCACACACATGCGCACACATGCACACACACACACGTTCGCAGACACACAAGCTAAGACACACAGACACCAACGGTTTCGAGGGGCCTGCAGATACACATGCGCAGCTACACACACACGCAGATACACACATGCAAACACACACACACATCCTGACACTGACACATTCAGACACACAGGCACACATACACCCGCACACCCGCACACGCACAGCCATATATATATATATATAGAGATACATATACACACACAGACGCACACAGAGATACACATGCGCGCACACTCACACAGACACACACACACACACACAAATACACACACAAATATACACACACAAGTACACACACACAATACACACACAAAATCACACACACACATAAAATCACACACACACACAGACAAATACACACACAAATACACACACAAATACACACACACACACACAAACACACACACACACACACACACACACACACAAACACACACACACACACACAAACAAACACCCACCCACCCACCCACCAACCCACCCACCCACCCACCCACCCACCCACCCACCCACCGCACCCACCCACCCACCCACCCACCCACCCACGCACCTACCCACCCACCCACCCACGCCACCCACGCACGCACGCACGCACGCACGCACGAACCCCACCCACCCACGCACGCACGCACGCACGCACGCACGCACGCACAGACGCACAGACGCACGCACGCACGCACGC